CTCGCACTCTCGCAAGCAGAGACTCTCCGGCAGGAGAAGCTGCAGCAGAAGATGCTCAGCCAAGAGGAGGCTGATCTTGCGCGCGCGATGGAGGCATCCATGGCTATGTCTTCATGGTCAAATTCATACTCATCCGCTCTTGGTGTTCACACCACTGTTGCTGGATCGTCGAGCACAGCCGGGGATTTGTCTACTGCTGAGACCCCCAGACTGGACTACATGGACGACGCGGCATTTGCCCGCATGTTAGCCGCTCAAGAACAGGACGAACCAACTCCCACACAGACCTCATTTTCAGTGAATGGGACATCTTCACCAAACGCAGGCGAGCAGCCATTAGACGATCCTGGTCCTGATGCCAACGATCTACCCGTGTATTCGCCTCGCCGTGTCGACCAGGATGGCAGACCGCTGCCGTCAACCGATGAGGATCTCGCACGACAATTCGCTGCGGAGGAAGAGGTTTTGGCCCGAGAATCAAAGGAAGAGGAGCCACAGGATCCTCTTGATCTTCCTACGTATTCGGATGGCAAGATCCCTCCTCCGATCGATGTACGGACGCCAGAGCTACTGGATTTAGCCAGGGTCAAGTCTGCAGGACAGGAACTAACTTGGGTAGATACGTCACTGGAAAGCCCCATACTTCTAATAGAGGCCCAACGGCCCGCCAGTGTGGATGCCACCAACTTTCGCTCGCCCTCAGGACTACTCTACCCTCCTGAGAATGTTCGATCCGCCGCATCTTCTGCATCAATTCGGAGCGAAGACAGCTATGCAAGCTCCATCGGTGCGAACCAGTTCATAGACACCGATCTTTTGCGTGGTGTTTGTGAGCTCCTTTTTACCCATTACATATCTGTTCTTTTTTCAACTGAATACTTGCCTTCTCAGCCATCGGTTTTGTCGCGCCATCCATAACGCCCGACCTGGTGCCCTTGGCAGGGTCAATGCCAAATATAATCTCGCTGCCGTATGGGCGATGTCCACCGCTCCATCTGCAAGCGCCCAGTTGGCGGCATCTCCTCAAGTTGATGGCTCGGTTAAGCGGAACCAGAATTGAGCCGACAGTAGAGGCTTTGGCGGTGACAAGGTCATCACAAATGCATCTCCGAACTGTTGTCCAATTTGTGCGGGTACGTGTTTTGATTCTCTTCCGCTATTTCAATTTCACGTCGTTATAGCCGCACCATACTTCCCCAGAATGGCGTACGGTACTCTGGTTCACGATCGACCATCCCGTCCCGACTTCCTTGCCTGGTGCCAGGAAGTACACCAACGGTGATGTCGATGTTCTTCCGTGGTCATATACTCTCTCCAGCATTCCAGCACTGCTTCGCGACGGCTCGGACACATTGTTGTCCAAGTGCTATACGATTCCGTCTAGTGATGCTGTGCCATTCCCTGCACTTCCCATTTCCTTCCCGAACATGGCAATGTACCTCCAAGCCGCGTTGGAGGAGTCTCGGAGGTATTCGAACGACAGCAGCAGCGGCGTGCGCAAATTGGCGAAAATGGTCGAGACGTGTTATCCTAGCTACAGCGAGAACGGCGGAGATGATGGTGAGCGCAGTCGCGTCGGGGGTTTGTTCAAGAAGGTCATAGGGCGCGGAGGACGCAAGGACAAGTCGAAGAAGGGTAAAGGCGGGAACGAGGACACTTATGAGCTTGTTACGCCGTTTGTCTTGGACGATTTTGCCTAGGGCCCGGAAATGTATCGCTAATCTACTCTACTAAACTAGAAGTGTATGTACTGCGCCTACTGTAATCTTTCCTAGTCGCATTGTTTTAGTGTCGATCAATATCGTCCCAATTTGGCAAATGAGCTTTCTTTCAGCGTTGTTTCGATCTGCTCCTGCTTCGACGCCTATGCCTCCATCCAACGCGTCTGCTGCTGCTGAGCAGCCCATACCAGTCCCGCCAATGACCACAGAAGAAGAAGGTCGCTTCAACATTACCTTGCGTCGCGTGAACCTCACTCGCTGTTCTTAGACCAGATCATACTTGCTCGTATAACAAACGATGAACGGCCGCTTCGCCGGGTGATAAAAAAGTTCCACAACTACACGGCCCTGTCACATACGCCCGTGGTCCCAGCAGTTCCGGCGCCTGGGACCCCCGCTGCCGCCACCTCTGTCGAGGATGCGCGAGAAGCGTTTTTGGTGGAGCTGGCGTCGTTTCAGCTTATGCTGCGGAAGAGCGTCATGATATGCGAGGCGGAGGCGCGGCAGGTTGAAGAATATCAGCGGGAAAAAGAACGAATTAGTGCGTTTGTCCAGTCCTGCATCGTGTGCTAGCCTCACGACATAATGTAGACGACGAGCATGGCACACTTCGTGGCCAGATAGAACAGCTCAAGACCGGACTGGAACACGAGCAGATGCTACGCCGGAGGAAAATGGAGTACGATTTTGTGGCGGAGAAAGTCAATTCACTTCCGAGCCGCGACGAATTAGAGCAGTACGTTTGCTTGTGTGCGCGGTCACTCGATTCAAGATTTATGCTAATACAGGACTATCAAATCTCTCGAGAATGACATGGCTGCCATACACGCGGAACACGATACACAAAACCGCACTATTCAAACCCAGAAGACAGCCCTGGATGCTATTGTTGCGGACCTAGGGTCGCTGAGATTTATGGGCAAGGACAGGGAGGCTGCGGCTTCGAGTGACCCATCTCCGAGGGACACTCCTGGTCCGGAAACTGCAGACGATTCCACAAATATAACTGCGGAAAACGGAACGGTTCCGGGGACGATGGAGGTGGAAGAAGGAGAGGAAGAGTCTGTGCTCGACCCCGTATTGCCGGCTGAAGAAGCGGTGGAAGACGACATAGAGATGGGGGAGGTGGAGGAACCCAGAAATAGTTTGAAGGGTAAAAAGAAGAGAGAAGAGGATCTTGAGGAAGGCGAAGCCAGCGACGAAAGTAGCTTATTATCAGAGCCTCCGGACGACGACTGAGTATATTATGGTTCTGGTCGTAAACGGATATCGACGTCCATCAAGTCCCGGGCGCATGATACTTCTTTGCCATATTCCCCTGCCGCCAGCGCTGCGATTGCATCCATGATTGTCTTCGACCCTGGGTTGACATCGTCGTCTCCCGGATATCTAGGTGAGAAGTGGTTCAAGATTAGCTGCCTCGCTCGGATGCGTTTGGCAAAGGCGCCAGCCATTTGTGGAGTCGAGTGACCTCGCGATCTAGTTCGTGCTTCGACGGTCTCGTAGGTGTCTGTATCTTTCGTGTTTTCGTCTATACCAGGCAAGTGCGCGTTGGTGGCTTCGTGAATTAGCAAGTCCGCGTCGAGAGCCAACGGTTCGATGGCCGAGGGGTTGAACGTATCGCCCAAAATGACGAGTTTTCTTCCTGGCCGACGAGGCGGCCCGTGAAGGATAGTCCCATCGTTGAGCTCTACGCTTCCTCCATGCTGCAGATGTCTCATCACTGAGATATGAGTCCCTGTCCTCTTGAGCTCCGAGACGTATTTGGCAGGATTGATCTTGCCAGGGACAGTCCCTTCGGTGACCACGTAGCCGACGCAGGTTACAGAATGCATGATAGGCGCAGCAGAGACGGAAACTGCCTCGTCTTCGTATATGTTCGTCCATACTCCGTCTTTTTGAGGAATATTCCGTCCAGCTGGCGACTCGGCGCGGTGGTGAGGGACATTGGTGTGGTCGCCGGTTTTCGGCTCCCAGGGCATCCGCAACTCATGCACCACGTACGGGGCGCTGAGAAGAGAATGGGTAAGCCTCAGACCTGTGCGAACATATGCCCGTGTTCCCAGCGGTCCATATATTTCCACGACCTGAGCATTGTAAGCATACATGCGCGACGGTGAGATTTTTTTCATGCATACAGGATTATTCACATCGATTTGAGCTCGTGGTTCTTCCGCACCATCTGCTGCACCGCCGTGTCCATTGAGAATACCAGCAAGCAGAGGAAGAAGACCGAATACGTGGTCCCCTGCGAACATGAGTACTAATCATTGCGGCGGTCGAAGCATGTACAACTCACCGTGCGTATGGGTAATGAATATTTTTTCTATCCTTCCCATCTTTTGAGTGCTTTTCTGCAGCCGAGACTGAGTTCCCTCTGGGCAAATACATCATAAACATATCTTTTTCGCGATTAAAGTTGCATACCTCCGCAATCAAACATCCAGACATTGTGTCCAAGTCGGAGAGCAAGGGCAGAATGGTGGCGCGTTGACGAAGGGGCTGCAGAAGCTGTTCCAAGAAACGTCAACTGTATATCACTGAATGCCGCCCTGATGACCTTGTCCTTCGATTCCATTGAGAGTTTGTGACGAGTTCAATGTCGTTGATCACACCTTTGAAGGGTGGACCACGGATGCTGCAGAGACAACGGCTTTTAAAGTGTTGACTATAGCTGCCATTCGTGAGTCAGAGTGATTTGTATTGACTCATAGTGAAGAGGGATGAGTGCAACTAGTCTCAGTGCCAGCCTGCCACGACATCCCAAAATGGGAACCCTGTCGTGACAGTCTGGGCCCTAACCGGGGAATTAGCCGTACCTCTGCGTTATGATTTTCGTGATTTTGCGTGTCTCGTTTACCCATTTCTCAATCGATTTTGGCGCAATTCTTTACATGATAAATAATCTAAAATGAATTCAAAGGCTTCTGTCAGTTTAGATTGCTCTCCGAGGACCCTCTGTTACAGGGAGGCTGCCTGAAATTTAATGTGTGGCAGTGCAAAATGCCGTGATGCAGCCGTGATGCATCTTTGTGGCGTGAATGATGGGGCCATAGCGCAGAGGTAGGAATTTCTCTGATTGCCCTTTCCACTGGCTGACACCGGTCAAACGGTTGGCAGTGTACGGCTAATTCCCCGGTTAGGGCCCAGACTGTCACGACAGGGTTCCCATTTTGGGATGTCGTGGCAGGCTGGCACTGAGACTAGAGTGCAACCGGACGCAGAAAAAAATTGATGATTGACACACAGCAATTCCGAGCAGTTCCAACACAAAAAGGCTGTCCGCGGGGTGAATCGAACACCCGTTTCCACAGTCCAAATTACGTGAAGAAGGCCACAATGTGGTGTACTAACCTCTATACGACGCGGACCCAACAAGCAAAAAGTTCAGGGATGAGATCGTGAGCGGGAGTGAGAACAATTGTTGAGAATGTCGCAGTATTGTACACTTCACCCGAACTACGACACACACCCCAATGTGGTGTGCCCTCTATACGACGCGGACCCAGCAAACAAAGACTCCAGGGATGAGACTGGACGAGAGGAGGAGAATGATCGAAGGCTGGATTGGGACCTGGTATTGATGGCGAGTTCTTGGCGCAGCTGCGTCGGTGCATGGTTTCTTCTTGGGCATTTTACTGGACCTTGATTCATTTCGACAGTTCAGAGGCTCGGTTCTGGGCAGCATAAATCCACTCTGTACTTATGTAACTTAAGTAAGTAGCAAATTGAAACTGAGCAGTGTAACGCCCAACCAAAAAATAAATACGCCCGAACTTTCTTTGCCGCCGTTGGGGTTATTTTATTGGCAGTGTCGTACATCTAGAACGAACAGTCCACTTGGCACTTCAAGGTCCACTTGGTCAGGGAGAAGGAGTGGCAATCACCGGTGATGACAAAGACAGAACGTGACCGCGATGAAGCCTTGTTGAAAGCGATACCACTTCGACTGTAACTTCGATTCGAAGGGGATTATACTCCTCCTACTAACCCCCCTGTGTGGCCCATTATGGCGCTCAGCTCATCTCCGCGAAAAATAATACCACTCTCCACCGGTGAAGAGAGCCGGGCTCGGTGCGAATCCGTTGCTCCGGGGCTCACGAAACGCGTTTTCTTCTGCGGAGTCGTAGTAGAAGGCTCGGAAAACGGAAAAAGACTTCCTGAAGGCATGAAATTTCGATTATATGCATACCTACAATCCCCTCACGTCGTTTCTCGCTCAGATATCCAGGACCTGGTTCTCTCTCTGGGAGACACGGTAGCATCCAACTCAGACACCAGCCTGCTCTCGTCTCCGAATGAGACCGGCGCAGAGGATCCCGTAAGTCTCTCCCTGGCACTCCTATCAGCAATGTTCCACATTTAGCACCGCGCGCACCCTACGCGTTCTATTCGCCCCTGTGTTCAAGGAATTCCTTATCGCTTACTTCTATCTTCAGAATCGCACCGGTCAGAGGAAACGCGCTCTCACGAATTCCTCGGCTCTCGCCTCTTCCATCCACGAGTTGGTGGACACAGAGCGCACGTATGTGAAGCGTTTGCGATCGTTGAAGAACGACTATGCCGACCCGTTGCGCAATTTTGCGCGAAGCAAAAACACATCTATCATCCCTGCCTATGAGGCCAAAACCCTCTTTGGAAACGTTGACAATCTCCTGCCCGTCAATGAGGCCTTTTTAGCAGATTTGGAAAAGATGCTGGGTCCCAACGGTGCAAAAGTGGTGGGCGGGGTAGGCGACGTTGCACTTCGTCACTTCAAGGAGCTTCGCGGCTTTGAACAGTACAAACAATACTACGTCAAACGTGAGGATGCGCAGTCGATCTTTGAGCGGGAAATGTCGAGAAAATCGTCACCATTTGCTGCCTACATTGACGTGCGTCACTGAGTCTGTTCCAAATCCCTCACCTCACATTCTTACTTAGCGGATCAAATATCAAGCTTCGGAAACGAGAAATCGAGTGGGGCTTCGCGAACTTCTCATAAATCCGGTGCAACGAATACCACAGTACACGCTTATGTTTCGGACAATGATCAAGCATATGGCTCCTGGTGATCCTCAACGTGCTAAATTGGTCGAGGCAGACGAGCTTGCCAGCAGGATTGCGTTGGCAGAACCGGACGAAGAGACCAAACGCGCTGCCATATTTTATTGCCTCAGCGCAACAATCGATGGCTTCCCGCCGGATCTGTTTTCCAATTCGCGCCGGTTCATTGATTGTATCGATGTCGAAGACGTTCTTTCCGATGCGCCGAGTTCGTCGAGTGTATCAGTCAACAGTTCCTCCATGGGTTCGCTCCATTGCACCCTGTTTCTCTTTGACGACAAGCTGCTCATCGTAAAACGGCCTGGGAATGGCGAGAAGGGCGGCCGTGCGTTTGCGGGCCTGGATGAGCTTGATAAATTGACAAAGGCGGGAGGGCGACCGAGTGGCAAGAAGAAGAGTGGCATGACGTGCAAAGGAGTGGTTGATGTAACAGAGGTTGTCGCTACTGATGTTGGTGGTTCAGGTAAATCCATTGATTTTTTCACAAGTCGAGGCTGAACTTGGTGTGGTCAGACATCAACTTGTACTTAGAGAACCCTCCACTCGACCAGAACGAGCGATGGTCTGGTCGGCCTTTCCGGTCCTTGGCCGTGGTTCAACCACCGGGCACAATCAACATGAATCCAGTGCAAACCGAACTGGATAAGCAGAGATTCCTGGAGAATCTATGGAAAGTACAGGCCGCGTATAGAGCGCGTTCTGGCCAGTCAGTCGTTCTCCGCGCAGAGGAGATGGAGGTGGAGTCGAAGAGTGGCCGGGTTACGGTCGCTCGCACCTATTATAATGTATACCAACGAACGGCTTTTCTCCAGGAACCGAAAAAGGTACACAGACTCCCCTCCATTCAAGCAGTCGTCTGATAAGACTGTTTACAGACCAAAATCGTAGTGCACATTGATGCCTTGGGGTCAGCGGACAAGATTCCATTTGGCGTTGGGGCACCACCTTTTGGAGTCATTCGATTACAGCCTCTGGCCGGTGGTGTCTGCCGTTATAAAGTCTCGTCAAGCGATCCATCTGATCCTGGGGAAGAGGATATTGTACAGACCACCCGAGTGCCGTCCCGGATTGTGCTCACGAGTGAATCGCCCTCCTTTCTTCTCGAATGAAGTTAATTGAATTTTACAGTCCACCAATTCGGTTTGTTCGAGTTTCGGACAGGAAGGAATTCTGCGCCGTCGACGCCCACGGCTCGTTCCAAGGCAGCTATCTTCGGATTGGATGCCATCTCCAGGAATCTCTTCAACACGCGTCCGGGGTCATCCATGGGTGACTTTTTCGGGGGGTCTGTGAATAGTCACAGACGCACGAAATCAACCGCCAGTCGCTCGTCCATGTATACCCAAACGACAACAACGGGAGATGGAAGCCTCACCAAGTTTTCTCATCGGTCAAACTCTACTGCAACCACAGCAATCTCTACGGATGACGATGGGTCGCTGCGTACGAGGTCTTCCTCGAGGTCCCGGTCCAGAAATGTCCTCAGGAAGAGCAGATCTCCTTGTGGCACCCCAGAGCCAGAGCACCGACCTCCAAGTCGTAGCTTGTCCAGATCTTCCTCGAGAAATGAATCTCGCTCGCCTTCAAGAGACCGAAAGTTTGATTACAGCGACGTTGAGGATGATGACGGCACCATTCTGGATCATGTCAGGGGTATGGATTCCACTGAACGAGATCTCGCCTTGCAATTGGCTTTGGCTCGGAAAAATAGCAAAAACCAACACAGCAAGCCGTTCAGCCATGTTCCTCTGCAAAACCCGTCAGAGGAAACGATATACGAAGGTACGAAAGCAAGCTATATTCGAGGTTGCAGACTCTTATTCAAACTAGACGAACCCCCTCGACGACCACTGTCTCGTGCTTCTCGAGATACGAACAGTAGCTCTAGGACCCCTCGACCTGACTCTAATTCTGCTGCTCCGATAGGATCGCCTCCACGGCAATCCCGATCCCAATCGCAGCACTCGTCTGAAAGACGTCCATTAGGGCCTAGAAGCCCTTCCCCGCTTCCACCGACCAAGACTCCAGTCACGGAGGCTTCGAAGAGTCTCCCTTCGATGGACGATGAGCTTGCTCTCGAAAATGCCGCAACACTGCAACGCTCAGCTCCGATTCGAGCTACCGGCATCCCGCGGAGTAAACGACAACCTTTCTTCCCCGCTGGTAATATAGATGCAACCCCCAAACCAGCTGTTTCCAGCACTTCCACCCCCAGTGGCGTTGAACCCTTGTCAATCAAAAAGAAAACCTCGGTTCGCGCAGAGGTGTCAACGGCCACCGAGGCGACACGAAAACCCCAATCTCGTAGCTCTCCGTTGTCACGAGCAAGAACTGTCGGTTCTCCGCGGAGAGTTTCGCCCCAAGTGCGAAGTAACAGGGCCTCGTCAATGCGTAGTCCAGCCAGGAGTGAACCCCCGCAGCTGCGGTTGGCCCAGCTATCAAGAATGACGAAGGAAGATGCAAGTGTTCAATTTCTCTAAGGACCACGTGACTTACTTTTTCTTTCTCCCTTTTTTGCAGGTCGAGTCGTCTCACCGAGCTGTTAAGCGCATGAGACTCGAAATTGACGGGCTCCGGTCAGGGTGTAGCACAGACGAAATAATTCGGCCAGCCTCGCCTAGCAAATTGATACGCACTCCGCAACGGGGCCCACCGATGGTAAGTCACTATAACGAGCCGCAACCCAGCTCCTGAGTTGTTTTCAGACCCAAGCGGCCCTGGATCGAATGGAAGAGATGAGGCAGCTGATAGGCCAGCGGCAAGGTGATGGCACTCCTCGCAGTCGACCTCTCAGCATACCGGATACTCCCGTGCGCGGATCCGGTTCCAACCGAACAGATGATATTCACCACTCGTTGACCTCGTTGATGTCTGAGGCTGACGCGGCCCTAATTCGGGCCACCGCGAACCACGAAGCTTTGGAAAGTGGCATCCGCCAACTGACCGACGATCTCAAAGATGTCAGGCACCTGCACTTCGTCCGTTTTCCATTTGTTCATTTCTTTTTTCGTCGCAGAGGTCAGCGGAGCTCGAAAAGACGCGGCTCGAGCTTCAAAATGCCCGACGACAGTGTGAGCTGGTGAAAAGCTTGCTAGCGGATGCGACAGCAGAGAAGGAAATCATGTATGAGGTAGGCAGACACAAAGATACTGCCTTGAAGCCACTCATGTCTCATAGGCATTCAATGAGGAATTGGATAGCATGTACAATGATGCTAATCTTCCAGACGACGAGGCCTGGGCATCCATGTCCACGGACCTACAGAAGACAAAGGAAGCTAGGAACGCGCTGTCAAAAGAAAATTCGTGAGCCATGTTCGGATTAC